CACAATGGGACAAAAACAGGGGCCTGGTACGTTTTCACCGAACATTAATCGGCCTCTCTCTTCCTGTCTGTCAGGAGTGACACATTCTCATTATAACTAACCAGTACGTGAGCCCTCTTCCCACAATAATAGGATTGTACAAAGGAAAGAGAGTCATCTGATAGAAATAGAAATGTATAATTGGTAAATCTGTACATTGTGTTAGGAAAAGTATTAAATAAATGGATTGTGAGTATAAATCTCTAATCACAATATGGATTTGTTTGTAGTTGGAAAGGGAAAGGGGGGTGCATCAGTTTGAGGGGATGGTGGGTGCTTGGCAGTCCCATTGGGGTTTTTGGGGTTGGGTGCAGGTGACTGAGTGGAGTTGCAGATGGTCAGGAGCATTGTGGGAGGTTATAGATGCTTTTTTGCCCCCAATGTTTGTAACTGGAAGGGGTAAGGGAAGGGTACATCAGTTTGAGGGGATGGTGGTTGTAGAGCGGTCCCTTTTGGGGATGGATAAAGGGGGCTGAGTGGAGTCACAAATGGTCAGGAGCCTCGTGGGAGGTTACAACTGCTTATCTGCCCCTGATGTTTGTAGCTGGATGGGGTAAGGGAAGGGTGGCACATCAGTTTGAGGGGCGGGTGCTTAGCAGTCCCATTGGGGTTGGAATAAGGGGGTGGGTGGAGTTTCAAATGGTCAGGAGCTTTTTGTGGGTTACCAATGCTTATTTGTCCCCATTGTTTGTAACTGGATGAGGTAAGGAAAGGGTAGATCAGTTTGAGGGGATAGTGGGTGCAGAGCGGTCCCTTTTGAGGTTTTTGGGGTTGGATTAAGGGCGCTGGGTGGAGTTGAAAATGGTCAGGAGCTTCGTGGGAGATTACAGATGCTTTTTTGCCCCCAATGTTTGTAATTGACAGGGTAAGGGGGGGGGGGTAGATCAGTTTGAGGACATGGTGGGTGCTTAGCGATCCCTTTGGGGTTTTTGGGGATGGATAAAGGGATCTGGGTGGAGCCACAAATGGTCAGGAGCCTCGTGGGAGGTTACAGATGCTTATCCACCCACAAAGAACTTCATGGGTGCTAACTTAGAGGGGGGTGCTGTTTGCTTAATATAATTTTTGCACAAAAATGGACAAATCCTAGGAGCTAGGTAGTCCATGCTCCCAAAAAAAAAAAAATCACAGCTGACGCCAAACTTTTCAGGTTTTCTCTAGTTGTCAATGGAGTTGTCTCCTAATAAAAAATACGGTTGGCCCCTGGATTGGACATATCGGCTTCTGAAGTCCATTTATTTCTCTATTCCTGCTTTAACATTTTCTTAGTTTCCGGCTTATGTATCACGATTCTAAAGCTGGCCATACACTGGTAGGCGCTCATATGAAAAATCATTCGATAATACCATCAGAGACTTGATGAATGCCGTTCCAAAATTTGTTTTGGTTTTCACATTCGATTTTGTAAATGAATGGAGTTTCCCCAAACAAAAACCACATCCAATTTCGAATTTCCTAACTGGAGCTTGGTCACCTCCTCACCCCCTGCCTTTGATGAGACAATAAAGAAACAGCCGAACCCTGATGAAATCATCTCTCTCCTCCTTGTACATGTGCATGCAGCATACGTGATTGGTCCTTAGATTGGGCCCTGCTTTACAGGATACTAATATCAAGTCAAATTTCAGGTACTTCTATTAGCTGCATTTAAACATTGTTTTAATTATGTAACTGTCACCTTTTTATTATCTGCGTGGAGTTCAGCTTTAACTCGAAACCATCAAGCGGCGACAGTGGAAAATCCCTTTTAATGCTTGCAAAAGTTCTGACCTAAATGCTTGTTTTGAATCTGGTCGCGGTTTGTAAATATGAAGAAAAAAAAAAAAACCCTCAAAGTTCTTCCTATAAAGCCGCTTCGATGAGTTTCATGAAGAGTCAGCAAAACCGCTTCCTCTTTGCAGTGCTGACAAGGGTCAGGTGCTCATGAGTAATAGGAAGGTGCCCATTACCCATCGCTGACTGGCGGCTGGAAGGAAATCAAATCCACTTTACATTCATTTTACATGTTTTTAATGACCATTTCTGGCTGA